CGTCTATTACCGTTTTGGTATATACCTTTATGTATGTATTCCGTCTATTATCGTTTTGGTATATACCTCTATGTATGTATTCCGTCTATTATCGTTTTGGTATATACCTCTATGTATGTATTCCGTCTATTATCGTTTTGGTATATCCCTCTATGTATGTATTCCGTCTATTACCGTTTTGGTATATCCCTCTATGTATGTATTCCGTCTAGTATCGTTTTGGTATATACCTCTATGTATGTATTCCGTCTATTATCGTTTTGGTATATACCTTTATGTATGTATTCCGTCTATTGACGTTTTGGTATATATACCTTTATGTATGTATTCCGTCTATTATCGTTTTGGTATACATACTTTTATGCATGTATTCCGTCTATTATCGTTTTGGTATATCCCACTATGTTTGTATTCCGTCTATTATTGTTTTGGTATATCCCTCCATGTTTGTATTCCGTCTATTATCGTTTTGGTATATATACCTTTATGCATGTATTCCGTCTATTGACGTTTTGGGATATCCCTCTATGTTTGAATTCCGTCTATTATCGCTTTAGTATATACCTCTATGTATGTATTCAGTCTATTATAGTTTTGGTTTATACCTCTATGTATGTATTCCGTCTATTATCGTTTTGGTATATACCTCTATGCATGTATTCCGTCTATTATCGTTTTGGTATATATACCTTTATGTATGTATTCCGTCTATTGACGTTTTGGGATATCCCTCTATGTTTGTATTCCGTCTATTATCGCTTTAGTATATACCTTTATGTTTGTATTCCGTCTATTATCGTTTTGGTATATACCTCTATGTATGTATTCCGTCTATCATCGTTTTGGTATATACCTCTATGTTTGTATTCCGTCTATTATCGCTTTAGTATATACCTCTATGTATGTATTCCGTCTATTATCGTTTTGGTTTATACCTCTATGTATGTATCCCGTCTATTATCGTTTTGGTATATACCTCTATGCATGTATTCTGTCTAGTATCGTTTTGGTATATACCTTTATGTTTGTATTCCGTCTATTATCAATTTGGTACATACCTCTATGTATGTACTCCGTCTAGTATCGTTTTGGTATAGTATATCCCTCTATGTCTGTATTCCGTCTATTATCAATTTGGTACATACCTCTATGTATGTACTCCGTCTAGTATCGTTTTGGTATATACCTGTATGTATGTATTCCGTCTAGTATCGTTTTTGTATATACCTCTATTTATGTATTCCGTCTAGTATCGCTTTGGTATATACCTCTATGTATGTATTCCGTCTATTGTCGTTTTTATATATACCTCTATGTATGTATTCCGTCTATTATCAATTTGGTATATACCTCTATGTATGTATTCCGTCTATTGTAATTTTTATATATACCTCTATGTATGTATTCCGTCTATTATCAATTTGGTACATACCTCTATGTATGTATTCCGTCTATCATCGTTTTGGTATATACCTCTATGTTTGTATTCCGTCTATTATCGCTTTAGTATATACCTCTATGTATGTATTCCGTCTATCATCGTTTTGGTATATACCTCTATGTTTGTATTCCGTTTATTATCGCTTTAGTATATACCTCTATGTATGTATTCCGTCTAGTATCGCTTTGGTATATACCTCTATGTATGTATTCCGTCTAGTATCGTTTTGGTATATACCTCTATGTATGTATTCCGTCTAGTATCGTTTTTATATATACCTCTATGTTTGTATTCCGTCTATTATCGCTTTGGTTTATCCCTTATGTTAAACATCTCTTGTTTTGGTGTATTCCGACTATTGTCATTCGCTTCTTTTTTCTTCTTCTATTGTCGTTTTATAAAATATCCCTTACTGTTTGTTTTCATTCTATTATCGTTTTGGTATATCCCTTTATTTTAAACATCTCTCGTTTTTTGGTATATCACTTTATTTTAAACATCTCTCGTTTTTTGGTATATCACTTTATTTTAAACATCTCTCGTTTTTTGGTTTATCACATAATTTAAACATCTCTCGTTGTTTGGTATATCACTTTATTTTTGTATTCACTATATAGTCGATTACAGCTTATCCGTTTCGGTATTCTTTCCCTTACACTATATCTCGTTATTGAGTGTGTCCCGTCTCTGTGGTAAATGAATGAAGGTATAAGATAACAAGGTGCCGATTTTACCATTTTTTTGTGTCATTGCTACATGTTTATGATGATATTGATTTGTACAAAAATATTAAATATAATGTTTTACAACATCTTGCTTTTTGTTATTGCTGTTTTTATATATCTTATAAACTTTTTAATCTTTAAGGTTTAATTTTGATAAATTCCTTTTTTGTGAACGTCTATTTTTTGTGTATTTTTCCCTTAATGAACAAACAAACAAACTAGGCAGGGTCCCATAACATAAAATATAACTTAATTGTCTTTAAGAAGCTTCATTATACAAGTGTTACAGTTTGTCAAGACATCGCCATTGATGAAACATCCCTAAAATGCATGTACATGTAATGTGTGTGTCCTTTGTCCCTACGGATCAAAGAACATACGCAGCTTGTAAATAAAGTTATTGAGACCTTATTGTTAACAATGGCAGAGTAAAGTGTAACAGCTAAGGAATTTGAGGGGGAAATACTGCCTTCATGTCAAGCTAGATTTTCCAGCGATGCGGTGTACCCCGGGGACCCGCTCCCTAGTTCATCAGCGTCGAGCGTGGTCAGTGGCTAGACGAGTGACCGCCCGACCGTCACAAAAGGTTCCCACCACACTGGACTAACACGCCTACGTTAATTATTAATGCCCTCCACGCATTGTCAGTTAGGTCACTGATGTCAGAATCAATAATGGTATTGGAATATTATGAAAGGTGAGTCTGTCTACAATATCAACAAATATCTAGCTATTACCGTTATGTACGTTTCCCACTGGTCCAAGTGAGCGCATAACTCCATCAACAAGAGGCCCACAGGGCATGTATCGCTCACCTGGTTATTCAAGCAGTCATAGCAAAATATTTTCATTAAATATTATACTGTACATTTCAAAATATTTGCTCTGTCTCTCAGCAACACCCTTACATTAGTTGGTCCCATCCCTCTGTCCCGATTGGGGTGGGGGCATAGTTTATACATCGTTGAACTATATTGGACCAAGGGCACTCTAAATTAAATTCGATTTAGATAAAGCTTAAGGATAAAAATCCTTTCCTATGACTTTTCAAAACAACCTGTTACAGGATTTCAACACATTTTACCTCAGTGACCTTGAAAGTCTAACAAAGTCATTAAGTTGAAATAACTTGGAAGTCCTTAGACCCAAAAAATCCTCACCCTGTGGCTCTTGAGAAGAGTCATTTAAATACCTTAACACATTTCATCCCTATGACCTTGAAAGTATAGGTAAATGTAATTTAGATAGTTGACCCCTGTGACCTTGAAAGTTGGTTGAGGTAGTTTTCAATCGAAAAATGAGTTGGGCTATATCTGCGAGAGCTACCAGCCAAATGTTATTTTCTATGCCTTTCAGAATTAGTCGTTTGAAGTGTTTGACATATTTGCCCAAGACCTTGCACATATATCTAGACTATTTTCATTCGCAAACGTTGTCTGGCTCCATCCCAAGAAGCTACCAGCCAAATATGAATTCCATACTTTCCAGTTCTTCAGAAGAAGTTGTTTAAAGTATTTGACATATTTGACCCCTGTGACCTTGAAATTAGGTCAAGGTCATTTTCATTCTCAAACTTTGTCAGGCTCTTTCCCAGAAAGCCACAAGCAAAATATAATGATTCTATACCTTTCACTTCTTCAGAAAAAGTCGTCTGAAGTGTGTAACACAATTGACCCCTGTGACCTTGAAAGTAGTTCAAGGTCGTTTTCGTTCTCAAACTTTATCAGGATCTCACCAACGAAGCTTTCAGCCAACTATCATGACTCTAGGCCTGTCCATTCTTAAGAAGAATTTGTTTAAATGAAATGTTGACGGACGACAGACGCCACGCCATGACAGAAGCTCCTTAGCCCTTCGGGCAGGTGAGCTAGAAATCGTCTTTGCGTCAGTTGTCTCATATCTAATATGGTTACAATTTGCATCATCTTTCCGAAAAACAAATAAAAATACACACATGGACATTTTAACTAGGTAGGACAGCTTAAGGGGGAAATACACACATGGACATTTTAACCAGGTAGGATAGGCTAAGGGGGAAATACACACATGGACATTTTAACCAGGTAGAATAGGCTAAGGGGGAAATACACACATGGACATTTTAACTAGGTAGGATAGGCTAAGGGGGAAATACACACATGGACATTTTAACCAGGTAGAATAGGCTAAGGGGGAAATACACACATGGACATTTTAACCAGGTAGGACAGGCTAAGGGGGAAATACACACATGGACATTTTAACTAGGTAGGACAGCTTAAGGGGGAAATACACACATGGACATTTTAACCAGGTAGGATAGGCTTTAAAGTGCAAAATAAATCTTAATTGCTGAATTGTTGACATGTAAAGCAATAAGCACGTTAGAGTAGCTTATTCTCAAGAAATAAGGCGCTATTTCAAATGTGTTTTTCCTTAGTTTCAAAGGCTAACATCTACCAGTTTCCTTCTGTAATTGGACTATGTTCCTTAACCCCTGGAAGACCACACAAGATTACTATATACAAAATATGTTTTCCAGGTCGCAAGAAAGCATAACACCACATCTGGTCAGTCATTCATGAAAAGTAGGCTTTACCTAGTACAGGAAAAGCTAACAGACGGAGGAAGGACACTGCAGCATGGCATAAGCTCACAGGTCCTGAATATCAACTTTTTTAAGCTCACTGGTGCTGTGGTCCAGGTGAGCTAAAACACTGCTTTGGAACGTGAATACACAATATGATACATGATATGAAAGACAGTCAAGTGGATGTTTTAAGCAGTCTTCTGTTTTTCAAACAAATATCACATACAAGTATCATACAAATAAATCAGACACTGGAAAATTATCTGTATAAAATAATTTTATTTGAGTTTTCTACAGTTCATATAAAAGCTTGCTGTTGTTGCAGAAAGTACAAATGATATAAACATATACTGTAAGAGTAATTATTTTAGCCGACACACATTTTTAGCTTATAATCAAATTTTAACAGATTTGCACACCAATTAATTGGCATTCTCACAATATGTGCAATAGAAAATTACATACAGAAATCAATTAGCGCCATCATAAATTAGCATAATGTTTAAAGAGTAAAAAGCGCCAAAATTAGAATACCCCTAAAATATGTCACGTGGGGCGGTCACCCATCCCACTACTGACCACGCTCGACACTGCTGAACTAGTGAGCGGGTCCCCGGGTTATACAGAATCACTGGAAAAGCTGGCTTGCCAGTAAGGTAGTATTTTTTCCCTCATATTCCTTAGCTGTTACAGCTGCACAACATTTCATGAATTTATTCAATCAAATACAAACCAATATTTTTGAAGTTCAATTTAAGTATCTCTATTGAAATACATCAGGAGTAAATAGTTCCTTTAAGCAAATAAGGAAATCTCTTCGAAATACTGCCACACAAATGTGTCTACAAACAATACCTCAATAGAAATATTGACAGAAAATACATTTATACTAAATCAGGAAGAGGTCTAATAGGCCTGCTACACTCGCCAGTTGATTCAATACTGTTAGCAAACAACATCTCCCATCTGTTACCTTTCAAAAAATGCTAAGCTCTGTGGTATAAACAATTTTGAAAGCAAGAAAGTTATCACCGTTGATTTCAAACATTTTAACACAGTTTCTCACTGCTACCGTTAATAACGATAGCCCTTCGTCCAAGCATTCTTAAATGTATCATAACCCTTGTCCTTTTGTTTGTTAAAAATAATTTACTTCAATGTCTTAACAAACAAAATAGCTCAGTCATCTTTACATGCTTAACAGGCCATATAGTAACATCACCTGAAGCCTCTTGGCTCTTCAGAATACAGTGCTTAAAGGGAGGTAACTTAATGGTCTTACAACCCATAAAGCTACCGAAAAATATAATCACTCTAGGAAGCCCTTTGGTAATTCACATTTGACCTTTGTGACCATGAAGATGGGTCATGTTCATTTATTTAAAAGGTCTTTCAGGTTTTCAAGTTTTCAATCAAGAATATGATTTCAATTATCTACCGATATTTACAACAAAGTGAAACAAATTATGCATTTCATGTAATGGTCTATATCACAACCTTGGAAAAGTTATTACATACTACAGATCACAGAGAATTGGCGCTCGCCGCTGACTTTCCATGGTATGTGGCTGGTAAGTACAATAATTTTTTCTATCTATCTGTCCTTCAAAACACGGTACAAACCCTGAAACTATATATGGGGATCATGATGACCTGAAGTGATAACATGAACTGTGAGGGGCTCGTCTAACCTAGATGGCCTGATCTGGCTCATTTTAAAGCATGAAAAAGTATCGACCAAAGTGCATATCAAGTTTCATCATGGTCCCTTCTGTACTTTCAGAGTAAATACAGTGGTACAAATGTAAAAGCATTTACAGTCGTGCAGTCTGTAAACAAAATCCAAGATGGCCGACTACAAACCATCGTGTCATCATCCATTCAGGCGTTCTTGAGAACTAATACTTGCAAAACCAAGATGGTTGCCTGGCGGCCATTTGGTTTCTAAAATCCCTGTCAAGTTGAAGCATTCAACGAGCTACCATGAGTTGGAATGACTAGGGACTGACTGTATGAGGTCAGTCCAAGGACGAAATGAGATTTGACTATAGAATATGAGTTATACAATTGCAACCTCCTTAAATTATGTCTGATGTCTTAATGCTAATGTCAATTAAAGAACAAAACGCAAATAAAAAAACATTGATAAATGTTACTTATCTTTGGTTTCCATATATATGTCAAATAAACAAAAAAAATGTAACAATCTTCACCAAACATTTAATACAGGGACATTACAGGTAGAACTCGTATTTCACTATATGACTTAAGGGTTTATGCTAGCTACCCCACACCTGTAACTGGCGTGTTATCCCTGAGATTTCTCTTCAGGATAAATGCTACCTCACAAGTGACATCTCCCACAACCTGCCCTAGCAGATATACATAATCAATGGACTATCATATAGCATAATACACCATATAGTGGAAGCATACTACATAAACATATTTTGATCATTTCTTCAATTCACAACATTTTGATTTTATAACCCTGAACCCATGTCCAAAAAAAGCATAATATACAAACCAATATAATTAGAATGGAGTATCTCACAATATTAACATGCCCATGTAGATAAATTGACTGGCCTGTCACCCTAACAAATATGAACTCAAATGTAGTATGAATACTACCAGAAAACTAGAACATGCAGCACGAGTCCTGAGATTTTATAAAATGATGACAAGAAATATCTAACTTTTATTTACTATACAAACAGTGTACCTATAAAACATGTTGTAACGTTTCAAGACTGACTGGTTCCTTAAGAATGATCTACCCACCAGACACCAGGTTTGAGAGTGATCTACCCACCTGATACCAGGTTTGAGAGTGATCTACCCACCAGACACCAGTTTTGAGAGTGATCTACCCACCTGGTGATCTACCCACCTGACACCAGGTTTGAGAGTGATCTACCCACCTGGTGATCTACCCACCTGACACCAGGTTTGAGAGTGATCTACCCACCTGACACCCGGTTTGAGAGT